GTATTGTATGACTGGCCTTATTCAGCTAATGCGAATTTAATTCATCATATTTCTAATAAATTGTGTAGAATAAATCTATGGAAATTATTTGCTTGTAGGCAATGTAAGTAGGCATTTGACGTTATAGATATATATATATATATGCTTAGGCCAGCTTCGAAAACACGGCGATAAATATAACACAAAAATTGTATCCCCCATCGACTCGACTTTTTCACCTGTTTAGAACTGCGCCTGCTACCTGAAAACGTTTATCTTGTATATTTTATGCATTTTAGTCCATGCATATGAGCACTGACAGAAGCAAACACACACACACACAAACACACACACACACACACACATATTGATAAATATATCTATATATATAGTTATCCGCAGACAACCTGTTTCACTGCATCACAGGTCATCAGTGTGGCCAGATCGAAACACGAACAATTTGACATCAGTCAGAGACTCTTGCCCCTAGGCTACCAGCACACGACAGAGAAAGGGCATTTTTAAAGCATTATATACGTGCTATATGGAGTCTATACCGGACGCCATGGCGCCCAATTCTTATGAAGACCGACGTATTACAGCAGCAACTGCCGTTGAGAATTAAGTTTTCCCTATAGTGTTCAATCACCAAATCTCTCTCTCTCTCTACATATATATATATATATATATATATATATATATATATATATATGAATTCTATATATATTTTATAGATATGCGGTGCTTATTGGAAAGCGCTTTGTATCACTGATAGAGCTAAGATATTTAGTTGAATGGATATGAGTTTGTGACCACGCATAAGCGTGAAACACTGTGTCCCAAAATCATATCCATTAAACTATATGTGTGTGTGTGTGTGTGTGTGTGTGTGTGTGTGTGTGTGTTAAGAAATGGATAAAATCGGACAATTATTTAATATATTCTCTGTTTATACGTTATTTTAAAAGGTACTTATTTTAATAAATGCTCTGGGTTTTTTTATTTCTTTTTTTTTTTTTAATAAACAGCATTAAATTCATTTACTGGCCTGAATTTTCGTGAAATTTCGTAGAAAATATGCATTAATTCATTTCATAACATGTTGTCAATTTTTGCGTTAAGTTACGTTTCACAAGCAGATTCGGCAAATATCATCGATTCATTCGGCAAATATAATCGAAGATTTATTGGTTATAAACATTAATTTTCATCTGGCAAGACAAACGCTTCTCTATAGCTGAGTGGTATAACAATTCTGATCATTTGAAATTTCCTTATAAGATACAGGTTCAATTCCTTTCGGAGAACGCATATTTTCTACAAAACTTCTTGTACATAAATGTAATTTATACTGTTTTTTAAGCAACAGATCATTAACTGTATCTCTTAAAATGACATATCAACAGAAAATATATTAACTGGCATTGTATAACTTATAAACAGAATATAAAAAAAATATTAAAAAATTTATAAAAAAATAACTGCGATGTTCTTTTGATTTATTTTTTTATTGTATTTATCAATTTTTTCGAAATCGTAGATGAACTATACGATGTTCAAGTTTGTTATGTTGTTTTTTGAGGTCTTGTTTTATCAATTACTTTCGACTTTTTCAGAAATAACAGGAGATATTACATGAAAATTTGGTCGGTAAGATTCTGTTGTTTACATCCTAGTATTTTAAACATATCGGAGAGTGTTACTCGTTGAGAACTGACGTAATATCTAAAAATTACAGCGACATAGACAACATTGGAAAAGAATGTATTAAATATGATGCAAATTATTATTATTATTATTAATCATAATAATAATAATTATTATTATTATTATTGACGCAATTGAAATTAGTTTAAGATTCTCTTAACGAATACACACACACGCACACAGACACACACGCACGCACGCACACACACACACACATATATATATATATATATATGTAGATAGATATAGACATAGATATATGGATATATAGATATATATTTGTATATATTAAATATCAAAGCAGAACTGAGCTCCTGATATTAAAGTTAAAACTCTACATGTTACTTTAATTTTATTTTATTTTTTACACGTGTATTGAGCAATTTTTAATACTGTTTCTTGTCTGATTCAAATCTTACTATTAACATTTTATCTATCTATCTCTCTCTCTCTCTCTCTATATATATATCTCTATATATATATATATATATATATATATATATATATATATATATATATACAGAGAGAGAGAGAGAGGGACTTGCTGATTGATCACTATAGAGAAAAGGAATATATATATATATATAAATATGTATATAAATAAAAAGAAAGAACAGTAAGATATAAAATCCGGTATTCTTATAGATATTTTTATTTTTACAAAATAGTGCTCAATGTAAATTTACAGAGCATTAATATTATAAATTAATTGATTTAAAATATGTTTTTTTCGCTACACAGTTCCAACCATGTTTCAAAAATAGAAGCTAAAAACCCCGAATTTAATTTTGCAATTAAATTAAAAGCATTAGTTCCATTTCATCTTCAAGCGAATTTTGGAGTAACTTATAAAAATTACCGGGTTTTAAAGACACAGCTAAAATCACGTTTCCATATGTATGTATGTATGTATGTATGTATGTAAGATGCCAGCCAGCAATACATACCATGGTTTCAAAGCAGCGCTCAAATCCATCTGATCCTACAGTTTATCTTTACCCTTCGAAACAGCCTCTTTATCCTACGTATCGCAGAAAATGAGTTCTATCAGATCTGAACGGTGCGAATATCGTTACCATATTCAAGAAAGGATAAAGGAATCGATAGTGGAAATTACATTGGCATCTCTCTCCTGTCCATCACAGGAAAGATCCTTTTCAATCAGCTTTTGACCTTGTTGAATAATCTTTAAAAGACATTTGACAGTGCTCCAAGACCAGCCATGTATCAGGTCCTAAGAAGCGATGGATGTCCCGAGAAAATCACGGCGCTCCTCCGAGTTCTACACAAGTGGATGATGGGATGTGTTTACCATCAACCCAGCCCTTCATCCCCCTTCCCTATTAGGGGAGGATTTTAGCAAGGGCGCGTATTTGCTCCTATCCTTTTCTCCATCTACTTGACGGCAATGCTTTAGGAAATTCCAGACAATAACTCAATAATTGACCTTTGATACCGCAAAAATGGCGGCTTCTTCTACATAACTCGCCTCCGGTCCTGGACTCAAACGACAAACGCACGACACATAGAGCTCCATGGCAACTGCACCTTGGCCCATAAACCCAGTAGGAAAATTCCCCAGAGCGTACATGCGGTACGGACTCACCATCAACGTGGCAAACACCCACATGAAGCCTGACGTAGACGATTCAAGGATCAGCTTTAAAACGTCTTGTTGAGGGCAGAAATCGATTCGATCAATTGGAAGATGGAAGCTACAGAAAGAACCAATTGGAGGAGAGCAGTCCACGACAAAGCAACATCCTTCGACAACACCAGAAGGCAAATGGAAGAGATACCAAAGAAAAGCTAGAACTCTCCTTCCCCTGCGCCTTCCTAACGTATCATGCGTTGGTTGCGGGTGTCTTTCAAGATCCACATAGAACTCATTTCACACAAGGAAATGTCGATGGTCACACCAATAATCGTCAACGAGTTCCGCCAGCGACAACGATATATATTAAATATGCAAGTTTTTAAATATATAGGTAGATATAGAAATCAACAATCACATGGATTTTGTTATGAAGTGGTTTCACAGTGGATGCTTGTATTTTTACTAAGTCTATCCTAAAATAGGTTCGACGTACAAAACGTTATGAACTTCATATAATATGTATAACGCAGAGAAATCTAGTGATGATCGCTGATACTTTAGTATCCGACTAACGGTCGTCTGGCATCGACTGACTGACCAACTCACTGAGCGACTCAGCGACTGACTTGTTACTCTTACTACTCCTACTTATTATAGGTGGGAGAGTCTATTAATTATAGAATAGGTGTGTTCCACTATAACAGATGTACACTCAGACTATTCAATATGTATGCAAGAGAGATAAGAAATAAATTCACCCCGGGGGAACACAAGGCCAAATTATGAAAAACTGGAGAGCTTTATACGTTATATAAATTGTACTTCCTTGAAGTGCTCGACCTTAACTAGAAGCGCTTCGATCTTTATTTTAAATAATGTTCAATCATTTGGTCAGGCTTAATATAAAAGATTATATTTTAGCACATTCAAGAAAGTGATCGGTACCCTGTTATTATAGATTTGTCTGGCATAAGCAAATATAAACAGAAAATAACATGGAAATGCTGCGCCAGTTGAACTCATAGAAAGACCTAGACTGTTATTTGACATGGGATATCCTAGACTGTAAGCCATAACTCAGACAACTGAAGCCGATAGGGAATCGCAACCAAGACGATTTTTTGATATCGGATCAGTATAAGTTGAAATTCACCCAAACAAACTTTTGTTTCCAGAATTACAATTTGAAAGAATTCAATACAGACTCCCGAGAAAGAAGAAAAAATGTACGAAAAAAAAAGAAGAAAAATATGCAAAAAAACAAAAACAAAAACTATCTTTCCAAAATTACAGAGACAAAGAAATATAAGCCAAAAAATGAACGCTCGGGAAATATCGGTTGTTTATTATCAAAAGTATAAATGAGTTAGTCTAGACACAACAAGAAAAGTGAGAAAACCCATGCGTAAATAATTCGACCGGGTTAAATCGGTATTTATATTTATAGTGAAACATATATGAACCATTTCCTTTTATGAAAGACTCTGTTATTTTCTCCGAAAGAAGTTCTTTAAAAGGATGTCTTGGAAGAAAGGTTTTGCAGGAATCATTGAGCAGTACTTCAAAGGGAAAAATAGGAAATTTATTGGCGTCAGGATGTTATAACGATAGCAGAATATATTTTGTCGTGCTGTTGCATACAAAATATTAATGCAGCCTCGTGATTAGGACTTGGGCGGATTGGCTTCCCTTACGAGTGATCATTCTTCTCAGCTAGACGGAAGCACTCATTTCTTTCTTTCAGTTTCTCAAACAAATTATCAATCGTTGCTTTTTTCTTTTCAAACAAATTATCACTCCTTCCTTTTCCCTTAACAAACAAATTATCACTCCTTTCTTTCCCCTTGTTAAAAACTATCACTCTTTCCTTTTCCATTACTAAACAAATTTTCACTCATTCCATTTTTCTTGTAAAAACAAAATGCCTGACCGAAGCAGTCACTCTTTCCTTTCAGTTTGTCAAACAAATTATCACTCGTTGCTTTTCCATTCACAAACAAATTATCACTCTTACTTTTCTCTTGTCAAACAAATTATCACTCCTTTCTTTTCAATTGCCAAACAAATTATCACTCATTCTATTTTTCTTGTTAAAAAATATGCCTGACCAAAGCACTCACTCCTTCCTTTGAGTCTGTCAAACAAATTATCACACGTTGCTTTTCTCTTCTGAAACAAATTATCACTTCTTCCTTTTCTCTTGTCAAACAAATTATCACTCCTTTCTTTTTCCTTGTCAAACAAAATATCACACCCTTCTTTTTCTAATTTGATTTTGTGGCAGGAATAAAATCTTAGGATCGAAGTAGAATCAAAGACATTTCTGTTTCGCTACATATCTTTTGAAAACTTTATAATCAACTGTAGTAGAATGGTTGATAATTTACTTCTACTACTTGGTCAGGAAAAATTCCATAAAGGATTCTCACCGCCCCACAATGTAAACACCAACTAAATACTTTCTTAAAGATGTTGTTAAAGACACAATAACATTTCGATCCAGATAATCTCAAGCTCGAGGCTAAGGCCACGATCGTTGACACACCACAGTTGTTTGATACATGTTAACGCTGCAAATCTCTTTACACAACTTTGTAGTAAACGACGTTATATTTACAATATTTTCGTTAGGGCGAGTGTCCTCGTCATTATTGTTATTGTTACAATTTTCCAGCCTTTGAGACGTGAATGCGACCCGGTATAGCATTCTTAGAATTTCGTAATGAACATTTTATTTCATCGACGTGGGTAGATTATTCTCGTTTCATTGCCCATATCTAGAGATATATCATTTATTATGTATTTGATCCAAGTACACAATTCCCGACTGAACTAACATTATTACTTCAAGAAATTCTCGAACTAACACATTCATCCATTAGGCTATTAATTTCTGGGATAATTCTGTGGGTAAACATAAAATTAACAAGTTTGAGCTTTTCACACTTGACTACATTCACCGAGACCTCTCCTTTTACAGCAGCTCTGGCTGCTGTAGAAGCTTTGCTGACATAGAGTTTTTGAACAGCTCCATACGGTACTTATTTATATGCGAGGCATACTAATGATGTTCTCAGATTATAGACTAGGATATGTGCCGAATCGTTCAGTGATCTTGATCGTAAATTTGGTGACAGCAATTGTGAGTTCTGTATATATATATATATATATATATATATATATATATATATATATATATATATATATATATATTTGATTTGATTGTGTGAGTGTAAAAACTCAGATGTAGTATATCTGTAAAAGAATAATATGATTAGAGACAAAAAGGAAAATTATCTTAGCTTACGCGTTTCGTCCTTTGAGCGACTTCATTAAGGCATACACACACACACACACACACACACACGGACACACACACACGGGCACGCACACACACACACACGGGCACGCGCGCAACACACACACACACACACACACACACACATATATATATATATATATATATATATATATATATATATCCGCCGTAACAAGAATTGTCCAAATAGTGCTACAGCATATTTTCAATACTACAGAATGTTTAATATCTAAAACCACACAAAACTGAGTTTATTTTTTCAGATAAGACGTTTAGCCATCTTGCTAATATCATCTTTCTCTATGTCAGCAAATGTGTTTTAAGAATCACTCAAAAGAAAATAGATTAAAATCCTTTTGTACCAAACCACTGTTTTCTCAACTGGGCAATGGTGCGAGGAAAATCATTCATGTCATAAGTAGGAACATACCATTTTCTTTTATGATCTAATTCATGACGATTCTTCTGTTAAGTTTAGAGAGTAATTATACATTCTTATTGCTCAAAGTAGAGTCCAATAAGGTTATAAAAACTTCATAAAATTACAGTAAGATATCTTTAATCATTTCTAAGTTAAAACGTTTTGAAGCTTAATCCAACAATTGAACAATTTTTGTGTTACACAATTTGAACAATTTTGCTGTTACACCGGTATATAATTTGAAAAAGAATTAAACATCACTACCCGGGTTTCACACTTAAGGTCTCCAACATCATCTAATACCCTTAAATTAAGCTATAGTTTTGCTGATAACCTGGAGAAGATAATTAAAAAAACATAACAACACAGTCTTTAACAAGTATAGGGATTCAAAAGGCTTGGCTACTCATCAGGTTACTAACTGCAATACTAAATATAATAACACAAATAACAACTTATGTAATTGTAGGAATTCAAATAATTGTCCACTACAAGATAACTGTGGGATTACTTCTGTAGTCTATCTTAGTACTATTTCACCAATTGAAAATCCAAATTTAAAGAAATTTTACATTGGTAGTACCATGAAAACATTCAAGGAACACTGTCGGGGGCATATGCAATCCTTTAATCACAGTGAATATAGGTACATGACTTCATTATCCAAGTATTTTTGGAATCTAAAAGAAAAGAACAAAACACCTACTGCTAAATGGAGTTTGGTTAAGAAAGATCGGACATGTAACTCTCTATATGCCCCATGTTACCTATGCCTTAACGAAAAATTTGTAATTATTAGATTAAAAAAAAGGCTGATCTCTTAAATCAAAGATATGAACTTACAGTTAATTGTAAACACCGTTATAAATTTAACTTAGTGTAGGTGCCGTATACTTTAAATGATAATGATATGTCGCTGTAATTTTAATAGTATTTTTATTGCCTGATGGTTATACTGACGATTTAAATGTGTATTGTTTACCTACATAGTGTTATTCGTGTTGGTGTATATGTGTATATATTTATTTATATAGGTTAGCGTGTTTGCACTGAGGACTGTGTAGGTTTGAATATAATTGTATTTATATGTAGGTTTTATATATATATATATATATGTGTGTGTGTGTGTGTGTATATATGTGTGTGTGTATATATATATATATATATATAAGTTGGGAGGGTATGAAAGATAAGAAGAGAAATGGTTAAAAATATTGATGTATATGTGTATGTGTGTATTTGTGTATGTGTGTGTGTGTATATGTATGTATATATATATATATATATATATATATATATATATATATGAACACCTCGAGGCGGTATAATGGTTGGTAAGCTTGGTTCGCTAGATAAATTGCGACTGAGTAGTGAGTTCGTTCCTCACTGGGTGCCCCCTAATTTCGGCTTTGTGCCACTGTATATTTGTATATATATATATATATATATATATATATATATATATGAATGTGGGTGTGTGTGCGTGTGTATGTGTGTAAAAGGTAAATACATGTTTACAAAGATTGGGCGCAGTTTCCTTACACGAAAAAGGACAAAAAATATCTCCGCATCTCTTTGAGTTATTAAGTTTATATTTTATGGTAGATGTTGTTAAATGTACAACCAAAAATACTTTTACAAACTTTGGAGATGGGTTCTCCACACTAAAACATGGTAACATTTTCATATAAGCATATGTCCAAAAGGCCATTATTGTACTTCCACTTGCTGCTAAACACGCATGCAGGGATCATTGATTGGCAGGCCCTTTCAAATATTCTCACACGGTGACGAATGGTTTCGCAGGTCCCCAATGACACGTTGAGTAAGAGTCTTTGCATTATTAAACCGATTATTGCAGGTGGCTCCGCAGATAAGAATCCAAAGGCCTGAGGTCGGGGGTACGTGCAGGTCATGGAACCGGCCTCCCCCTACCTATTCATGTTTCATGGTAGATATCAGCCAGTGCATCGTGGACAATCTGACTAAAATGTGCCGCTGACTCATTATGCATGAACCACATACGTGGAGAACATATGGACCCACTAGACAGTCAACTACAATTCCAGAACACACATTAATCTTAATCTGTTGCTGGTGTCTAGCCTATGTTGTACCATAGGGATTCCGATACGCCCAATAATGTTGGTTACGCGTTATTTTTTTTATTCCATCCCTTCCAAATGTTGATTCAACAGTAAACAAGAAGGAAAAAAAAATAGGATCGACCGGTTGTGCAATAAAACATCGTGGTGAGTGATCCGATAGTGAAAGATCCTGCACACTTTGCGTGTAATATGCATACAAGAGATGCTCTTGAAGTCCCATGCACATCTGCTTATTCACGATAAGAGTACCCTGTCACTGCTAAACAAAAATACTTCTCAGTTATGTCAGAACTACACATATTAACAGACTAACCACAAATATACACTACTCTACATGCCAACATAACATCATCTACCTTAAACATACGTTCAAATTAATACCTCAAAACCAAGGATTTTCATATATATATATATATTTATATGAAGTTTTGTCCTTGTTTATGTGTGATGAAGCAGCACTCAAAGTTTGTAAACTTATTTTGATACACCCTGTATATACCGGTTGCGATGGACAAATTTTAGTCTAAATTTTGCAAAATTGAAAATAGCCTTGACATCTTATTTTAACAGATATTACCAGAATTGCGAAAAAAATACCTGCAAATCAAAATTGTAAATTTATTCCATAGAATCGCCATTGTCTTCAACCACGGCCTCCAGACGACTACGGAACACCTTCTCCTTCTTTAAATTGGTGAATGCTGTCATAATCCTTACCTTTAGTATACCTTTTATGTTACAAAGAGTTTTCTTGGTATCTGGCTCAACTGCGTCCCACATATAATAAACAGGGGGTGCAGTTTGAAGTGTTAGGTGTCCCGGTATCAGATGCGTATAAAAGGGAAAGGTCTTTCTTACGCCCTCCAAATAAACTTAGTGAACTGGTAAACTTTCCTTTTTTGTCAGTATAGATTCGGTTGATTGTATTTTGACATAAACCACTTCCAAGATCTTCAACTTATGAGCGGACAGATCTCTATGTAAGTTATTGAAACAATCATCTGTATATTGTTTTGAAAATATATATTATTCTTTCCTAATTATTAAAAAAAAAAAACTAAGTTTATATCAAATCTCTTTCAGAATTTAAATAAAACATTGTATAACCTTCATCTAGCACATGCAAAAAGAAGAGATGCGTTTATATTTTTGCATGAGTTAAGCATAGGTTTTGTGTCGTACAGTAGCCATTAGTGGTTATGTATAACTCAAGGCTTCAATGTTAAATAAAACAGTATTTATTTACAATCGCAAATAAATTCTTAACAAGAATAAAGAAGTAAA